AGAGCTCCAAATGATACTGCATTACGGTGAGTTGTATAATTATTTCATTATATAACACAATGTAATAATAGAAATAAAGTGCACAATAAATGTAATGCACTTGAATCATCCCCAAAAGGCTGGGAACCGCCGGGATATGCAATGAATATATGACCAAGTCTTCAAAAGCAAACGCAGCAAAACAAAAATAGACAGACGGGATTTAATTAAACTAAACACTTTCTGCATTGTGAAAGAAACAATCAACAGAATAAACAGACAACTTATAGAATGGAAAAGAATATGTGCAAACTATGCATCTGATGAACTAATATCCAGAATCTACAAGGACCTCAAACAGTTCAACAACAACAACAACAAATAACCCAATTAAAAAGTGGGCAGAAGCTGGGCTCGGTGGCTCAGCCTGTAATCCCGCGCCTTGGGAGGCTGAGGTGAGTGGATTGCCTGAGCCTGCGGGTTCGAGACCCGCCTGGGCAACTTGGCAAGACCTCATCTCTACAATAAATCATAAAATCAGCCAGGCATGGTAGCGCACACCTGTAATTCCGGCTACTCGGAAGGCTGAGGCGGAAGGATCGCCGGAGCCCAGCAGGTCGAGGCTGCGGTGGCTGGGAGCGGCCACTGCACTTCAGTCTGGGCAACAGAGTGAGACTCCAACTCAAAAAAAAAAAAAAAGTGGGCACAGTATGTGAACAGATATTTTTCAAAAGGAGACATACAAGTGGTGAACAAACATTGAAAAACGGTCATATCACTAATCATCATAGATATGCAAATTAAAACCACAATGAGATACCATCTTACCCCAGTCAGAATGACTATTACTAAAAAGTAAAAAAAAAAAAATGTTGGCAAGGATGTAGAGAAAAGAGAATGCTTATACAACGTTGGTAGGAATGAAATTAGTATGATCTTTATGCAAAATAGCATGGAGATTTCTCAAAGAACTAAAAAGAGAACTAAAATCATCTATCATTCTCACTATGGGGTATATATCCAAAGAGAAAGAATAGATAATTTTAAAAAAGATACCTGCACTCATGTTTACTATTCATAATTTCAAATATATGGAATCAAGGTAAGTGTCCATCAACAGAAGATTGGTAAAGAAGATGTGGTGTATATATAGTATTCCATGGAATGCTACTCAGTCATAAAAACTAATGAAATCAAGCATTTTGCAGCAACACAGTTGGAACTAAAGGCCATAATCACAACTGAAATAACTCAGAAACAGAAAGCCAAAGACCAAATTTTTTCACTTATAAGTGGGTGCTACACAACGGGTACACAGGAACATTCAGAGTGGAATAATAGACATAGGAGACTACAAAAGGTGGTAGGATGGAAAGACTTAGGGCTGAAAAATTACCTGTTGGATACAATGCTCACTATTCAGGTGATGGGTACACCAAAAGCCTAGACTTCACATCATCACACAATATTTGCATGCAAGAAATGTATACTTGTACACCCTAAATATATAAAAATTTTAAAATTAAATATTCTTACAACTCAATAACAAAATGACCCAACTGAAAAATGAGGACAAGATTTGAGTATCAAATAATTATATATAAAGAGCTAATAAGCACATGAAAATATGCTCAACATCACTGGTCAACAAAGAAATACAAACTAAAATAACAATGAAATACAACTACACACCCAGTAGAAAAGAGTATTTTTTTTAGAAACCGTTGACCAAGTGCTATCAAGGGTTGTGAAGGAACTAAAACTCATTTGCCCCTGGTGGGTATATAAAATGGTATAATCACTTTGAAAAAAGTGTGCAGTTTCTTAAGAAGTTTAACACACATTTACTTAACAACTAAGCCATTCCTCTCCTAGTTATTTACCCAATAGAAACAAAAGTGTATACCCTCACAAAGACTCATACACAAACATCCATATCTGCTGTATATGAAATAGGTAAAACACTAGAAAACCTAAATATCTAAAACAGGTAAATGGATAACAATTTTCAGATTATATATACAAACACTACTCAGCAATTTTAAACAGTACACTATAGGTACACGCAACACAGAGAAGTCTAAAAATAATATTACTGGGTAAAATATAACAGACAAAAGGGAAAGCAGGTTAGTAACTATGTTAGGATGAGGGTGGAAGGAAGGAAAAATGGATTACCAAGCAACATGAAAAATTCGGATTGAGCTGATTAATTTCACAGGGGTTGCATTTGTGAAAGTTCATCAAATTGTACACTATAACAAGTGGTCAGTTATACCACAATAAGGTTGTAAAAAAAATTTTAACTGTCAATATCAATTTGAAGCAAGTATGTATTGCATCTGAATACACAAACTGTTAAAAATTAGTACAACTGGTAGAAATTGTTTAACTAAACAATGTAGCTCAACAATTTGGCAGTGTGTACTAAAGTTGAATATTTGCAAATTCTCAGCTTCAGTAGTTCCCTTCTTAGACATGTACCCAATAACTAGACTACAGTGTTAAAAATGTGGATAGTGATTTCTATTGCGGAAGAAGTAGTGATTTGGAGGGTACATAAGGAGAGCTTCTGGGGTGCTGAAAATGTACTAATCTTTGATTAGGTAGGGAGTTACATAGGTGTGATGATATTTCATCAAGCTATACATTATACATTTTTTGTTTACATAATAATTCATGAAAATATTTACTGTTTTAATAAATATATGGTTATCTTACTTCCCTGGTTACATAATCTAAAACAGGACATAATCTAAAACAGGACATCACCAAGATGGCTGACAGCCAAAAATAACTAAAGCTATAAAAAGTATTAAGGAATATACAATATAAAAAGTAAAAATTATGACATCAAAAACAATTTGTGGGAATGAATAGTAAAAGTTTAATTTTTGTATATTCTAGAAGTTGTTATAATCTTAAAATATTTGATTATAACTATAAGATTTTTATATAAGCCTCACCGTAAACACCAAACAAAAAACCACAGCAGATATACAAATGATAAAGAAAAAGAAATGAAAGCTTGGCACTACAGAAAATTATCAAATTACAAAGGTAGACAACAACTGAGGAAGAAAGGAAATAAAACAACCGGGAGACAAATTTTTTAAATGGCAAAATAGTAAGTCCCTGCCTATCAATAATAACCTTGAATGTAAATAAATTAACATCTCCAACTAAAAGATATAGAGTAGCTGAAAGGATTAAAACACAAGCTATAACTATATGCTGCCTACAAAAGATCCATTTAATTTTTAAGAATACACATAGGCTGAAAGTGAAGTGAAGTGAGGGTAAAGTGATGGAAGAAGATACTCTACACAAATAGTAACCAAGACAGAGCATGGGTGAATACATTTATATCTGATAAAACAGACTTCACTTTAAAAACTGTCAAAAGAGCAAAAGTCATTATATAATGATAAAGGGTTCAATTCATCAAGAGGACATAACAATTTAAATATATATACATCTAACACTGGAGTATCTAAAATTATAAAGCAAATATTAATGAACATGAAGGGAGAAACAGATAGCAATACAATAATAGTAGCTTCTAAAACTAACAGAGGCAGAAAAGGGCCAAGATATTCTAATTTTAAAAAAAGGTGAGGGATATTATCAAACACCAACAATTATTATAGAGCTCTGATAATTAAGGCAGAGGATGGAAAAAGTGACCACTGGACCAGAACACAAAGCCCACAAACAGACCTATGCATACATGAAAATTTGCTTTATGTTAAAAGCAGATAAGAAGGAAAAAAACTGGATTTTTCAATAAACTGATAGTAACTGGGTATCAAAATGCAAAAAATAGAACTGGACTCCTACCTCAGAGTTCACAATAAAATCATTTGCAAGTAGACAAAGATGTTACAATTAGAGATAAAACTACAAAATTATGAAGAATGTCTTATGACATAGGATTAAAAAGGATTTCATAAATAAGACCAAAAAGCACAAATCACAAATTTTTCTAGTTCTACTATATTGCAATCAAGAATTATGTTAGTCAAAAGATATAAAGAGAGTGAAAAGGTTCAGACACAACCCATAAATACACTTGCAACATATGTAACTGACAAAGAATATCTAGTGAAGATAATTCTTAAACATCAATAAGAAAAAAAGATCCCAAATAGAGAAATGTACAAAAATTTAAAAAGGCACTTTACATGAAAAAAAAAATCCTAAGAAGTTCATAAGCATGTGAAAAGCTACTCAGCCTTATTATCAAGGACAAGTAGAAAAGCAAATTAAAGTCACAAAAAGTTATATTTTAAAATCTATCAAATTTGTTACAATTCAGAAAATACCACATCAGTAAGGTATACAGCAATAAAAGGATTTAGGCTCGGTCAATTTAATGTCCCCCCATGTCTTTGAATCTTAAACAAGTGATAAAACTAGAGGATGGCTGAAGGTCTTTTACCATAATCAGAGTGACAACATGCTGACTAGCCATTGTTGTGGCTCTTGGTACCTAGTCTTTGATGATTGACCATTTCCAAGCCTGGTCGTCTCTAACCTATCACTTATGCCCCCAACAGCTTCCCCAAATTTCCCTTTTGTTTAAGCTAGCCAGAATCAAATTTTACTTTTCCATGCTGGGTACAGTGGTGTGCACTTGTAGTACAAGCTACTCAGGAGGCTTAGGTGACAGAATCACAGCTATTCAGAAGGCTAAGGCAGGAGGACCACCTGAGCCCAGGAGTTTGAGGCCAGCCTGGGCAACACAGCAAGACCAGGTCTACAAACAAAACAAAAAGAAAAAAAACCAAAAAATCTTCTATTGTTTTAACCAGAAAATCTTAAAATATCAAGTTTCTCATCCAACAGAAAATTTCAGAGAGTCTCCATTTTCAGCATTATGTCAACAATTCCTGGAAATCAAAATTCAGCACATTTTGTATTTGTGACTACTTCTTAAAAATCTATATGACAATGGCTTTCAGACCTGACTCAGGGCAAAATGCTCATCAGGATCGCAATCAAGATAGCAAATGAGGTACCTAGCTCTTTCTCGGGCTGCATCCTCACGGGCCCTTTCTTTTTCTTGTCTCTGTTGTTCAATTCGGGCTTCCTGTTCTTTCCTCTTCATCAATAATTCTTCTACACGGGCCTGCCGCTCTGCCTCTAGAACTCTCTTGCGTTCCTAATGTTAAAAATATTTTTCAAACCATTAGAGTTATATGTCAAATAAAAATGATTAAAGACAACATAACTTTGACATGAACTTACAAATTCAAGTAGAACCCTGCCTTGCTACTATGTATACTGCTTCTTAAAGTTTAAACAAAAATCAAATAGCAATGATATCTAGTTTTCACATGTCATTTACCACTGCTATACATAATTATGAAAATAAATGCTAATTTAAACAAATACTGTTATACATGTTCTGTGGGAGCTTAATATATATTTTCTGATTAATCACTTCTAAGGCTTTGTGCTAACCCATAGTTACAGAAATATCTGAACATAATGAGAAAAAAATCATGGTTAACATTTCAGTTCTGAATCAGACTTTTGTAATGGAAAGTGAAAACAGTTTGTGAAACGAAGAAACAGTTAATCTAACACAGCACAGTGGGTATAAGAGTAAACACTGCTCAGATTCCTGGCTTTGTTATTCACTACCAGGTCTTAGTTACATTCTCTGTGCCTTAGTTTTCTGGAAGATAAGTAATAATATGTTCTTAGGATGTTGTAATGAACAGATAAGGTAATACATGGAAAGCACTTAACACAGGGTCTAGAATATAGAAAATTACCAATAATTAGTTATCAATATCATCATCAAGCCAGAAGATAAATCATCAAAATAGTATAAACTTCAACATAAGCTATTTGTTACAAACATGATGAACATGAATTTCTGTTAAGGGAACACTGAAGAGAGAGAGATATGAACTTTTCTAATAGTTAACTGAGCTCACAATGGCAACATTATCTCCACAACAGGCTCTATCTACCCCAAAGATATAACATGTCAGTGAAAAGCTTTTTTCAACCTAACACTGTTCCCCAGATAGCTTATACAATCTCTCCCTGTCCTCTCCTATGAATTAAATTTTTCTTGGCACCACTGTCACTTGCCAACCTCCTCTACAACTAATGGAATATGCTGATCTAGGCTCTAAAACCTACTACTAACACAGACTTGCACAAGGCTTAAGGAGTCTCAGTCTATTGTGAGATCTAAATTACTAATATAGGTAAGTATTCAACACAGTGTTTAGTAAAGACTCAGTAAAGAACAGCAGAAAAAAATAACAAAGCAATTTCTGTTAAGGGAACACTGAAGAGAGAGAGATTTGAACATTTCTAATAGTTAACTGAGCTCACAATGGTAACTATCTCCACAACAGGCTCTATCTACCCCAAAGAGATAAAACCTTTTTTTTTCTTTAAAGACATGGGGTACAATTCAGGATTAGGTATACAAGTGGTCATTGTACAGGTTTGGGCCTCCCTTTGATTCCCACTTTGCCAGGTTTGAGATCAGGTACCCTTATTGATGTTCTGTGCTCTCCCTCGCCCACCCCTCCCCAACCCCAGGTCTCCTGGTAGTTCTGGCTACGGTCAATCTCTTTCTTATAGTATTATGGTAATACTATAAGAGTCCGCTTATGAGTGAGAACATGTGGTACTCAGTTGTTTCTGTGATAGATCACCAAGTATTATAGACTCTAAATTCATCCAACTTGCTGTGAAGTCCACAATTTTGATCTTCTTTATGGCTACATAAAATGCCATCATATATATGTACCACATTTTTTTATCCAGTTCAGTTTTGATAGGCAGTATGTGGGTTCCATGTTTTTGCTATTGTGACTAGTGCTGCAATAAACATTCATGTACAGGTATCTTTTTTGTAGAGCGATTTAAGTTTCTCCAGGTATATTCCCAGAAGGGGGACTGCTGGGTTGCATGGAAGGTCAATTTCTAGTTCTTTAAGGAATCACCACACTGTTTTTCACAAAGGTTGAACTAGTTTGCATTCCTACCAACAGTATAGAAGTGCTCCCTTTTCTCCACATCCTCATCAGCATCTGTTGTTTTTTGTTTTATTAACGATGGCTATTCCTACAGGAGTTAGGTGGTATCTCAATGTGGTTTTGATTTGCATTTCTCTGATGATTAGTGAGACCGAGCATTTTTTCATGTGTCTGTTGGTTGTTCATATGTCTTTTGATAAGTGTCTATTCATGTCTTTTGCCCACTTTTTAATAGGACTGTTTGTCTTTTTTCCTTTCAGCACATATGTGTTTTTTGTATATCCTGGATGTTAGGCCTTTGGCAGATATGCAGTTGGCAAATAGTTTTTCCCATTCTGTGGGCTGTCTCCGCAGTCTTGATGGTTCCTTTTGCTTTGCAGAAGTTTTTCAGTTTGATGAGGTCCCACTTGTCTATCTTATCTCAAAAAAAAAAAAAAAAATGGAAACAGGAAAAAAAAACAACCCAAGGGAACACAGAGTGGAAGCACTGACACACTGACAGCAACTGTTTCAGTAGATTTTTGGTTTTATAATTGGATGATAGTGGTACAATTCATTGAGGTAGCAAACACATGAAGACAAAAATTGAAAAGGAAGAATAAAAATGTGAATATGTTGGGCTTGATGTCCTTTTAACACATCTGGTTAGATATACAGCTCTGGAGAAGAAAGAATGAGAAGAGGATATAGTACTGAGTCTTAAGGTTTCTAATATAGCGGTTTGACATTAATTATTATGTTCTAGTGAATAAAAGGACTGCTATTTTCAGAGGGGAAATAGAAAACCTTTTAAAAAGAGTAAGCCAAAAGGATCCCTCTTTCTCTCTTTGTTGGGGGGAGGGTGGTGATGGGAGGAGGGTGGACTGGGAGCTACAGGGGATGCACTGATTCCAGGAAGGAATACTGGGCAGACTGCAGGCTGTTGGAGTCATGCAATTAGACTTCAAATGTATTCTTTACTGTCTAGCATATCATTCATGAACTTGCTATAATAGTTTCTCACTAGCAACTCAGAATAATATGTGGCAATCTTAGACTAAAATAATCAAATCTGGTATAGAAAATTTTCTTCATTAAAGAAAATACGAACAATAATATTCTCTTATAGTCAAATTTACTTAAAGTTAAAAAAAAGTCAGAAAACACATACTTCACTATAAAATGCAAAAGAATTAGCCATTAAATATTTAAAAATTGAGAGAACCGTTCACTTCATAATTATTTTTCTAATTTTATAAAACCAAAAGCTCGAGGCATATATGAGGGGGGACCCCCCCCAAAAATGAAATTATCAAGTGGACCCCTTGTAGTATAGGCTTCTCCCACTAGATAAGTGTTCTAGGAACCCATTGGTTTTTATCTGGAAATTTTGCAAAGGTTGTATCACAATTTACAAAAGAAACATCCCAAACAGGTAACTTGTTCTTCCACCATGACAATGCAGCTGCCCACACCACACAGAGTGTTCATAGCAGTTTCTGACCAAAAACAGCATGACCCCATGTCCCACCCTCCCTATTCACCTGATCTTGCCTCAGATGACTTTTTTTGTTTCCCCGGATTAAAAAAAAGTCCTCAAAGGGAAACATTTTGCTGATGTGGAAGAGGTGAAACAAAAAATGGCAGAAGCACTAAAAGGCATCTAAATTGACAAGTTCAAAAACTGTTTTGAGCAGTGGAAAAATCATCTCAATAGGTGTATTGCATCAAATGGAGAATACCTTGAAGGTGACAGAAGTTTAAATGTGTGAGAATAAATACACAATTTTATAAATAAATGCCATTTTTGGAACCCCCTCTTGAAACTCTAGAAATTATAAATCAAATATATTAACATTGTATAAAATAATTACTTTATATTTGTGCAACATAGTCAAGTTGCAGACTCATAAATATAGTCAACTTGCTGCATGTTTTCATGGATATAAGACATACTCCAACACCATACTAATAAAGATAATCAGACTTCAAAAGTTACTCAAACTTTTAATTTCTATTTTTAAAAACTAGGAAAGAGAATTGGTAACCATATAACTACTGAGTAAAATCAGTAAATTCAGCTGCCATTTCCTGATCCAAAATTTAAGTTCCCTAAAGATTTGAAACTTTGTATCCCACAAAGTACATTGCAAAGTACATAGGGCAGGGATTCCTAAGTATTTGTTTAATAAACTCAGTATGACTTTATAAAATAACATGTATTATGAATCTATATACCTACAAGTAAAGAATAGAAATCTACAGCAAAGGAATTAAAAATGTAACTATCTGAACTGTAGAGATAGAGAGGCAGTTGCAGAATCCTTTCTTAGGCTGCCATAAAAATACCTGGCTATGTCTACAATTCAAATGATTAGGGCAAAAAGACAAAGCAGAATATCTTTTTTTAAAAATGAGCCTAAAATAACCAAACAGGAATATATATAACAACAACAGCAAATTGAGACTATATGATGGTAGCAGTTAGTATTTCATTGATAAGAAACAAGGATCACAACTGCCTTTAACAGCTCATGAGGATGCTACATGAATAAAACTAAAGTAGATGAAGAGTTTGAAATTTTATATTAGGTTAGGCTCTTATAATTATTGTTATTGTACTTGCAGAATGCCTGGCATTAGTATCTTCTACAGCTAGTAATTACTACATATTTTTAGAATTTTTAAATTACATATATGTTATCTGCCAGTGGATTATTCTAACAACGTTAGTATAACACAACATATGTAGATATGTTTTAAATTTTTCATTGAAAATTACCTCCACAGGAAATTTTGACATTTTTAAAAAGAAAAATAATTACCAAGGGTGAAAACAATATTTTTTTTGGTAGTTGGAGTCTAACTCCATCGCCCAGGCTGAAGTGCAGTGGCACGCTCATGGCCACCCCAGTATCAACCTAACTGGGCTCAAGCAATCTTCCGCCTCAGTCTTCCAAGTAGCCAGAACTACAGGCGTGTGCGAACATGTCCAGCTACTTTTTTCATTTTTTATTGTAGGAATGAGGTCTCGCCAAGTTGCCCAGGCTGGTCTCAAATCCCTGGACTCAGGCAATTCTCTTGCCTCAGCCTCCCAAAGTGCCGGGATTACAGGCTTGAGCCACTGCGCCCGGCCCAAAACAATTTTTAAAGTGTTGGTTAGTGGATGAAATTCCTCACTACTTTCAGTAAACTGCTTTCCTTTAAGTTTTAATGAATGCTCCATATTGGGAAGTGAGAGTCATTCTTTTTAAACTGAAGATAATTATATTTCAAATCTTAAAATCTGCACAATGCAGAGAAAGTATTCAAAGACATTCATTTAAAAATATACAATATTACTTACCTTTTCCTGAGAACTTTCCCCGAAATTCACCTCTCACCAATAGAGCTAATTATTCCCTTCTCTGTGGTACCTCTGCACTTTGAACACACTTCAATTATACTCTTTCATATTAAACTGTAAGATATTATTTACCATAAAGAGAAAAATCATGCCTGACTTATTTATGAATTATTAATGTCTAATGGCTGCTGAAAAGTAACATATAATTTACAAGCCATAATTATTTTTATCCGTCTATATTTCTGTCAGAAAAAAACCCAGAAATAACTCTAAGACTGAAATTAAAAATTCATATATTTCATCTACCTATTTAAGAGTGCAAGTTAATACGCAATCAACTTACAAATGACAAAAATGAAAATTTTTGCTGCTCTTTGGAGAGAAAAATGTAAAGTTTCTCTAACAGGAGCATTCTGTATTTTTAAACACTTATTGAAATAGTACATTGGACTCAAATCAAACAGAGATTTGGGATGAAGATGAGAGTGCCTGCTAATACCCCCAGATAACCAAAAGTAATCAATAAACTTAAAAACATATGTTTTAATTTACAAAATCCACCAGTTACATGAAGCAGCATGAACTACTACAAACACTCCTAATTTTAACATAACAACAAAGCTCTTCATGATTTGCTCGCTAATTCCTTTTTTTTTTTTTTTTTTTTTTGAGTTGGAGTCTCACTCTGTCACCCAGACTGGAGTGCAGTGGTTGCTCCCGGCCACCGCAGCCTTGACCTGCTGGGCTCTGGCGATCCTTCCGCCTCAGCCTTCCAAGTAGCTGGAACTACAGGCGCGTACTACCACACCCGGCTAATTTTTGATTTATTGTGAAGATGAGGTCTTGCCAAGTTGCCTAGGTGGGTCTCGAACCTGCGGGCTCAGGCAATTCACTCACCTCATCCTCCCAAAGCGTGGGATTACAGGCTGAGCCACTGAGTCCGGCTGCTAATTCTTTACGTAGTGCTTACTTAGATCTCCTTGTGCATGAAATGTCCTCCCACACTACTTTTTATAATTTGCACCTGTTTCATTATTTAAACCTTAGTTGAATTATCAGTTTCTCTAGGAAATTTTCCTTTCTCATGATCTCGCCACTCTCTATGTAAATAAGGTGTTCTCCTTTATACTACTGAGAATGGCTGTACTGTAGCATTTATCCTAACAGGTTAAAATTGTTTATGTACATATTTGTCTCTCACCAATGAAAACATGTACATGTATTTTTCATATCCTTGAGCCTAGCACAACATAGCAGCTTGTAGTAATTCAATAAAATTACTGAATGAAAAAATAAGTATTAGTCATAATGCAGTATGTCAACATTTATATTAGAATACTGCAAAATTTATTCTCTATATTAAAAAATATGTCAGGTCTTAAAAGATTCTATGGGCAGAAAGATCTAAAACAGATTATAAGCAGCAGTATAGTTTATGCCTTAAGCTTCTCCCCATCCTGAAAATGGTTGCTAACTTAGGGTTTGCAGCAGAAGTTAAAATCTAAATAATTAAGGTATCTGATAATACTGTTTAAGAAATAACAGATGCCCTTGTCATAAGCATAAAGACTGCTGAGTTATTTAAGGTTATACATACCAATTCAAAATTTTATTGGAGGAAGAAGAATACATTCTTGCCCAACCCAACTAGAAAAGAACAGATAATAATCCTTCCAGAGCAATTTAATCCTTCACCCATTTGAGGGTAAAGATTCTACTTCTATGACTAGTCTTCTGATGAAAGTGCTGATGATTACTTCACCTGAGGGAGAAGAAACAATCTTTCGGCAACCAGACTTCATGTTACCAAAGTGTCCCATAGTAAACCTTGTACACTTGGGAACAAAGACTAAGTTTTACCCTTTGTGGGTCCTCAGCACCTAGTTTAGAGTCTTGACAGGTGTCAATAAATGCTTGCTGAATAAAATCCTACCTGCACAGCTTCATCACGAGCTTGCTTTTCTTCCTGTCTTCTCTGACGCTCTTCCTGCAGCTCATTAAGCCTCTGCTCATACTCTTTCAATTTTGATAAAACATCATGACGTTTATTCTGGGCTTCAAGGGTATTTATAAAGGCAATTTCATTTACCTTTAATAAGAAACAAAGAAAGTGAAGTTCAAATTAAATTACTTCTAGAGCATATCACAAAAATAAGAAATTTAACTACAATCTTTATATAACAACATAAACCAGTTTTAAGGCATAGAGAAAAAAAAGTGAGTGACTTATGGATCTTTTCTTTCAATATTTACCTCAAAACAGATAATAATACAGTAAAATAACAAACCCACAGGCCTTAGCAAGAAGTGGTTCAGAGGTCTACCACTGAAAATATTTTAAAATTTAAAAAAAATTTAAGATTTTAATAGAGGCCATTTAGTATAGTTCTGTACAATATTACCACAATTTGCAAATATACAAATCACACAAACAGATACGTTCATGTTTAATGAGCACAGACAAAGTAGATTTACCATAATTCTTATGAGGTCTAGAATTTTCAGAATGGCAAATGAGCACTGGCTTCAACTTAAAGCCACCAGCTACATCAGCCCCTAACAAGAGAGTCGATCTGTCCTATGAAGCTTTGGAGTCAGGCATTCACTTATCTCTAGCTATAAAAGTCATAGGTGGTATCTTCTTCCAACAGAAGGCTATTTCATCTACTTTAAAAATTTCTTGTATGGGATAGCCACTTTTATTAATTATCTTAGCTTAGATCTTGTGGACAACTTGCTGCAGCTCCTACATTAGCACTTGCAACCTCACCTCATACTTTTATGTTATGAAGATGATTTATTTCCTAAAACCTCATGAACCAAGCTCTGCTAGCTTCAAACTTTCATTCTGTAGCTTCTGTACCTCTCTCAACCTTCACTGAATTGTAGAGTGCCTTACTCTGGGCTAGGCTTTGGCTTAAGGGAGAGTTGTAATTGTTTTGAACTTTTATCCAGATTACTAAAACTTCCTCCATATCAGCAATAAGACTGTTTTGCTTTCTTATCATCCGTGTATTCACTCGAGTAGCACTTTTCATCTTCTTCAAGAATGTTTGCTTTGCATTTACCACATGGCTAATTGTTTGGTGCAAGGGAACTGGATTTCAGCCCATCTCGGTTTTCGACATGCCTTCCCCACTAAGCTTAATCATTCACAGGTTTTGATTTGAAGTGAAAGACACGAAGTTCTTCTTTCACTTGAAGACTCGAAAGCCACTGTATGGTTTTCAAGTGACCTCATTTCATATTTGTTGTGTCTCAGCAAATAAGGAGGCCTGAGGAGAGGTAGAGAGACAGGGGAATGGCCAGGTTGGTAAAGCAGTCAGAACACATAAAAGATTTATCAGTTAAGTTCACTGTCTTATATGGATGTGCTGTGTGGCACCCCAAAACAATTATAGTATAACATCAAGGATCACTGATCACAGATCACCATGACGGATATATTAACAATGAAAAAAATTGAAATATTACAAGAACTACCAAAATGTGACACAAACACATGAAGTGAGCACATGCTGTTGGAAAATGGCTCGATGCAGGAATGCCACAAACCTTCAAGTTTTAAAAATCACAATATCCGAGCCGGGCTCGGTGGCTCAGCCTGTAATCCCGCGCCTTTGGGAGGCTGAGGTGA